ATATTTTTGTCATTAATCATACATAAAAATTGCATGAATATGTAACTATCTTTCTTTTTATTTTTATTCAATCATAATATTTTTAGATCAAAACTACACTTTTATGAGTAACAGTAAGCACGTATTTAATTCAACTAATTGATACTCTAATAGAAAATTTATCTTAATAATTTACTATTAATATTTTTTTTTTGAGTATATGAGTCAAATTAGTGAATTTTAGTCAAATTTTACATAAGCCTTCTAAAATAACTAATCATTTTCCATAGACTTATATAATTGATTTTTTTTTTCTTTTGTAAAACCTATATACAGAGTTTTTGTTAGTAAGGCCTTTACTAATTTGAGGTGTTTATGATAAATTTGATCCGACTCCTTCTAAAATTAACTCCGCCTATATAATGTTGATTGAAAATTCATTCCATAATTTTTGTGTTGGCCATTATCGTAAATTATATATATAACATGTAATGATGCATTTATTAATATATTAGAGTCCAATAATACTTAATATTTAAATTTATTTTAAATTATCATCAAAATAAATATTTTCTTAACCGTGCATCGCACGGATACTATAGTAGTCGAAAACCTAAAATTGAGCTTCATCAAAACCATGTTGTAAAGGCAAACCATTTCAATAAATTTTTATATTATAATTACTCGAAAATCCTTCACATTTTGCCCGCCATACAAATCAGGCGGGTATTTTTGCACTTTTGCCCCTAATCCCAATTTACCAATGGTGAAATAGCTAACGTTACAGTAGAATTAAACCAGACATTTGGAATAAGAATGTTTCTATGAGGTGTTAATACGGATAATCGGGTTTGGGTCGGGTTTATTTGGGTTGGGTTTGTTCGGATTAGATATATTCGATTCAAAATTACCCTTTTAATCCGCTTCTGGTCGGATCGGATCACTTTCGGGTTGGGTCAAATTCGGGTCAAGATTTACCGAGTCCAGATCGGGTCAACTTCAGATTGGTTCATATTCGGTTCGGATACAATTGAATCAGGTTCAAAACGGGTTTGACTGGGTTAATCTCGAGTCGGGATACTTTGGATCGGGTTGGTTTCGATTCGATTACTTTCGGTTCTGTTAAGTTTAGGTTGATTAATAAAGTTGATTCAGTATTCGGTCAATTCTAATTTAGATACTTTTTGTGTTTGGCTGAATTTTGGTTAGGTTGACCAAATTTAATATTCAAATAAGTACATTTTTTAAATTAGAGTAATTATTGAGCTTTTTTTTATCTTGTTATTGGGTCGATATCAAGTCATTAATGTGTCATTTTTCCATATTGTGTCATTAATATATGTTTAAGTAAAAAAATAAGGTAAATAATAAGTTAGGTTTAAAATTATGGTTAGTTTTAACCCACGTCAAGTTAAATCAGGTCGTGTTAAATAGGGTCGGGTTTATATCAGTTCGGATAAAAAAACGGATCGGATTGAATCGGGTGTTTTTCGGGTCAATTTCGGTTCAAATTGAGTTCAGGTCGGGTCAAACCGGTTTGATTTGAGTTCAAGTCGGGTCAAATCGGTGTCGGGTTGAGTTCAAGTCGGGTCAAATTGGTGCCGAGTTAAGTTCAAATCGGGTCAAATTTGGATTTGGGTGAGTTTAGTTCGCTTACAGATCGGGTTTGAGTGTTGAGTTTCTCGAATCAAATCAGATCGGTTACAATTCGAAACAGATGGTTTTTTTCGGTTCGGTTCGGTTTTGACACCTCTAGTTTTTATTGTAACATTTGGCATCTAGATTATACAAGTATGTAACATTAACTAGTTGGTGATTCTTCCCAAAAAAGAATTTAAAAAAAAAAAAAAATTAGTTGGTAACTAGACAATGTTTCTTTGTAATTCGTCAACACACAATTTAAGTAAATTATTTACATACGAAGTATATAGTTGTGTTTTTGGTAAAATTTAGATTTTAATCATGTACAAGTAGAGATGAATTCAATAAAATCTCACATAATTTATTTTTCTTCCGCATAAATCACAATATAATATAAGTAGCAGTCACAATACCAAAGTATATTAAAAATTTATACATATATGTTTATAATGTAACTAAAATTTGACAAACGCTACCCGCTACTTTTAAACGCTACTATTATTAACGTTTGAGAAGAGCTACCTAAACGCTATCTCTACCGCTAACCACTACTTGAACCGCTACCTTGCCAAACACTCTAATTTTTTTTTTGTAGTAGTGTTTTGAGTGGTCAAAACGCTAACCGCTACTGCCAAACAAGGCCTTAATAATCCCAACTTTGAATTAATCAATTGGATAATCAATGACTAGTTATCTGTTGAAAAGATGATTTTTTTTATTAAATGCCACATGTCGAAAGCTAATTAGTCAAAAAAATTTAAAAAACTACAAAAACAAAAAAAACAAAAAATTTAAAACTTAAAAAAAAAAAAAAAATTGAGAATACCAGTCCCCACTCCCTATCCTACCCCCTCCCTGACCACCCCAGCCGAGTTGATTAATAGAGCCTCCATAGCTAGTATCAGAAGTTAGCTGGTTGCCCAATTGAGTATTAGTTTCAATGTTTCAGGGTTGTGTAATTTTTGTTATACAACCAGTTGCAAATTGTACCTAGAGCTAGGTACAACCACAATCTTTTCTTTGCTTATTTGAAAAATACAGATGAGCAAAAATAATAATAATAATAATAATAATAATAATAATAATAATAATAATAATAATAATAATAATAATAATAAGACTTATCGTTTTGTTCTTTGTTACCGGTTGGGTGTTCCCCTGTGCTCCGTTTCGACACCATGTTCTGCTTGCTCAAGGGTTTATGATGGGGATATTTATGGGGATCATGCAGTGTCTTGTGCTGGGATGGTGGGTATTAAACATTGCCACAACGTTGTTCGTGATACCTTTGTTGATATTTGTTTTCGCTCTGGGATTTCTGCAAGGAAGGAGGTTAACGTTGGGTTGACTGGAGGGAATGACGAGGCTCTTCGACCAGCAGATGTGTTGTTTTACTCCTGGGATAGAGGTCTTGATGTATGTGTTGACTTGATGGGGTCTTCTCGTTTGACACAATTTGGGTTGTTTGACTTTGTTCCTGGCCGTGTTGTGTCGGCTGCGGCTCAGCGGAAGCGAGACAAGTATGGGGCGCGTTGCAGGGCTATTGGCTATGTTTTCTTCCTTTCACCTTTTCTTCATTGGGGGAATTAGAGAAGGATGCTGTTGTGTTGCTGAAGCGGGTTAAGGCGTTCGCTAGGGCTCAAGATATTGGTGCTCGTGCAGCTGTTCACGTCTTCAACAGGATCGGGTTCGCTATAGCTGGAGGGGTGGGGGCCTAGATTGTATCTCGGCTCCCCACTAATTTCTTGTAAATCGTTCGACTTTGTAGGTTTTTGTTATAATAATAATAATAATAATAATAATAATAATAATAATAATAATAATAATAATAATAATAATAATAATAATGTGATTATACCTAGCTTTAGGTACAACTGGTTATATAGTGAAATAAGTAATTATCAAAATTATTTATTACATACATTTTGAGGCGTGTAATAACCTTATTTCTCTCTATGTTGTCTATGAGTGTGACAATTCTAAGTTAATATAGAGATTGGAGTAATAATTAAAGATTGGAAGTTTAAGAATTTACATCTATACTTGTCCAATTTTATCTTTTCATTAATCCCAATAATTGATAACCTCCCATGCTAATATTATTAATATCACATTAACTTGCAGGAAAAAAAAAATATTAGGTCTTAATAAATTGTGATTTTGTTCGTATATTGTATTTATGTAACGAATTAAGTATTTAAGAATCTTTACTCCAGGAGTAACGAAAGTTTTAGAGGTGGCTGCAAAGTATTTAGGAATCAAAAAGACTTGCGTAGACCTGGTCCACAATAATGTTATTGTGGACCCGAGGTTTATATACACACAACTGACATTATATTGAACATAGTAACCTTTAATTTTTACATAGTAACCCTATTTTTAACATAGTAACCTTTATTAAAACTAGTATAACGTTTAATATTATTGTGAACTTAAAGTATAACGTTATGACCCTAATTTTAACATAGTGACTTTTATTATTCATATTAATTAACCGGTATATAAAATATTTTATTAAAATATTAACCTCTTATAACCTATATATTACCAAAATGACTTTTATTTCAACATAGAGACCTTTTTAAGTATTATAGTGACTCTTTTTTTTAACTAATAAAATAACCATAGTTTTCCTGATGTTAGTGGTCCACAATAAATTAGTGTGTACCAGTTCCATTTAAGAATTTGTATTTAGGAATAATATTTGTTCCACGAGTTTAGGAGTAACGAATGTTTTAAGTGTTAGCATAAAGTATTTGGGAATAATCTTTATTCCACGAGTTTGGGAGCCGAGTAACGGAAGTCTTAAGCATGATCACGTAGGGAATTCTTATTCAACAAAAAATAGGTTTTCAACTACATACCCAGATAGCTCGTATTCATGCAAATATCAACCATATATCTTAATTTCTCACCATCCCGATCTTCATTTTTGAAGGAAATCATCACTAAAGTTGTAACGAAAATTTTGCTGATACACAAATCTCATTACAATACATCTTTTTATTGCCTCTTACCAAAATCATTATGGATGGACCATGTTCAAGACAAGGTTATTAAGAAATAATACTACCTCCACAATGACAATAGTTTGACTTTTGCACTATTCACGTACTTACATTATTTTTTTCTTTGATATTATGTGCATAAATAGTTAATATTAGTATTTAAATAATGCAAAACTTAAAGTGACACACTATAAAAAAATCGAGTGAGTAGCCAAAGTTTATTTATTTATAATCTATTTTTTTTAAAAAGAGAGGGTGTAACCAAAGTTGCACTTGCACCAATCAAATTGTTGCAATTAATTTGATATCGATCAATTATTGGAGGGAAAAAAAAAAAAAAAAAAAAACCTTTTAAACACGAGAAAAACAAAGAGAAAAAAAGCCCAAAAATAATCCGAACGTTAAAATCGGTTCTCTCTCTCTCCTCCCTCCACTGTCCAACTCTCCTCTTTCTCTTCCCCCATTTCCCCTCCATATTTCTCCCTCTCTCTCTCTCTCTTCTCAGCAATTTCATCTCAAATACAATTCAAATCTCAAATTCCCAATTCCAATCCCATTGAAAAAATAAAACCCAATTGTAAATTCTCCAAATTCCCCCCAAAATACTTAGAATTTTACAAGCAAATTTAGGCAAATTCCCAGAAATTCAATCAATCAAATACCCTTCACTTCAATCATCAATGGCGTAACACCCAGATTCCAGGAAACAGAGAAAACACCCACCAAGAACAAGAACAGTAAGAGAAGAGGAGAGAGAAAATTGATTGAGAAATTCATCATCATATATATGGCGGCGATGGCTCCAGAAAGATCTAGACCTCTCCATAACTTCTCCTTACCACCACGCTTGAATTGGGGTACTCAAAAACTTCTTCGTTGCGCCAAAATCACCAATTCCAACAACCCCTCTTCCTCAAACGACGCCGTTTCCGATTCAATTCCCGCTTCCTCCGGCGACCGGAAACTCCGAAACGCGTCGTTTCGATCTCCTCAACCGCCGTCGATTCGCCGCGGTGAAGTCGATAATGAAATCGAAGTCATTCGAGAAAGGCTAATGCTCAATCTTCGCTCTGAAGTCGATAAAATTCACGCCGATTATCTGGGAAATTCCGAATTTACCCCTGCGATTCCGCCGCCTCCTCCACCGGAATCTCGACCGTGGAATCTCCGGACTCGCCGGAGTCCGGCGACCGTTGAAATTTCTCCGGCGACGGTGCCGGTGGAGGTTGGTGTCTCGGGGGGTGATGGCGGGAGAGCGAAGTTTTCGGTGCCGTTGTCGAGGAATGAGATTGAGGATGATTTTGTGGAGATGACGGGGAGACGTCCTCCCCGGAAACCGAAGAAACGGTCTCGTTATGTTCAGAGACAATTGGATGTAAGTTTGATTAATTTCTTTTCTTGCAAAAGTTTTCGTTTTTCTGTGAATTTTGCGGGAAATTTGAATTCAATATTTGATTGATTTTTCGAGTTTTGATCTTACAGACGCTTTTTCCGGGGCTATGGTTGTCTGAGATTTCGCCGGAGATGTACAAAGTTAATGAGACTCCGGAGGCTCCTAAGGTTGGAAATTATTTAATTGATTGTGAAAAATTGAGTTTCATTTGAATTTTGGTGATAATTTCCTTATGATGTTGTTGGCGCTCATTTCGTAAATTAATTTGGGTTTAAAAGTTGAAAACTTTGAGATTCAAATTATAATCTAATCCACATTTGACAATGTAGTTCTTGGAAAAATGTGATTTTTTCGCCGTCTTGAGTAATCTTGAATTCGCAATGTTTTGGTTTAATGGTTATGATAAGTATTGATTTGATTGAATGGGATTGTAAAATTTGGTTTATTTTGTTTGGTGTTGCAGTGAAAATGAGATAATCGATGGGTGGTATTGCGGGAGTTTTGAGGTTGCTGTCCATTGACAGTGGTAGGATATGATACAAGTAGATTAGTTCTACTGTAATTGTATTGGAATTGGAATTATAGTGTAGAAGTGTTTGTGGATCAGGGGTTTCAGGCAGAAGTGTTGGTAACTCTGTTGTATAGTTGGCCAGTTGGGAGTATAACTAGAGCTGATATGTTAGTTTCTTTTTCTTCGGAGTACTTGTTATCGATCAATCAATCAATATAATTGATTTCGTTTCTCACATTTCGAGTCATTTGAGCTTATTCTTTCATGTGCTGCTGCTTGTGTTTTACTGTGTTTGTATCCATTCTCGTGGTTACAGGTTCATATTTTGAGTTGAAAGTATAGCAGAACCTAGATTCAGGGCCATTGGGGTATTTGTGGGAGGAAATGATGATTAATTTTTAAAAATCCAATCTTTGCTTTCGTATAGTATGGAATGTCAGAACTCAGAACTCTGAAGTTTGTTTCTAGTTCATTCACATATATGCTGACTGCTGTTATATACGAATTATGTAAGTTCACATAGGGCGGCATGCGTCTTTTGGGTAGGTGAAACTTCTGGATCGTTTGTGTCACAGGACTTGGATTTTGCTTCTATATTTTGTTAACCTTATCGATTAGACTAAAGTCTTAACTGTTAACTGATATGTTTGCATTATTCTCGAGATTTGTTCTGGTTTCTGCAAATGCACATTATACTTGACATTCTGAACTCAGGACATTTACCTCAAAACAGTTAGGAATTACTATTTGAAGTAGAAAAGTTGTAACATTAGGAAAATCATGTAATTTTTTTTAACAAACTGCCTCATTTCTACTGTTTTTTTCATCAGAATGGAAAATGCTGGTTTATATGCGATAACCTTTGGCAGCTTACCTGCATTTCTGTCTCTATGCCTCTTAAGGCGACATTATGTTGTAGCCCTTGTGATGGTGCAAAGGCTGGTTTCGATTGGTATCAATGTACTGACCGAAGATCGACTGGCTTGCCATGGTCACATACTCACATCAAATTGGTTAGAGTTGGATGTGGAAGTGTTTTGGTAGTGTGAGAAGGAGAGCATGTTCTCAATTTTTTGAATTTTCCCACTATAATCTGATTAGAAGGAAAAATGGTAGTTTCTGTTTATCCCTTTTGGGCTGACTCAGCCCGGCCCATTTAGCCTACACCAATTTTGTTAGCAAATTCATTATTCTTTAGAGCACGTGTATAAGTTGATAAAGAAACATTCACTTTGTCTTTTTGTTGGCGAAACATTCATTTAATAGGTGTTGTTGGAGGCTATTTACTATTTAGTTCCTTCCATCGGTCGAAAGGGTCTTTGTTCTTTGACCCTTGGAAAGCAAAGTTAGCTATATTTTATACTCGTTTTTATTCTTGTGTAGTTGTGTAAATGTGTACCTTGGTCTAGGATTTATTTTTTTTTATTTTTTTTTGGGAAGGATAACCTTTATGCTAAAACAACATCTCTTACACGTCAATTAGTTTTAGCGACACACGTTAACATTTAAGAGTAGGGGAGGTAAGGTGCAATTTTTATTATACAATTGGTTGTACTTAGAGTTGTATAACCACAATTAATTTTATTTTATTTTTTTTCATTTGAAATTTTTTCATTTGAAATACAAATGAGCAAAAAAAAAAATAAAAATAAATTGTGGTTGTACCTAGCTCTAGGATCAGTTAGTTATATAGTGAAGTAAGGGGAGTAGGGGACTCCACTCCCAATTATGACAAAGTAAATGCGAAAACAAGAAGTGCCAATGGATCTTGGATCCGAATCTTCAAATTTTGGACCCGGCCCATTTCTGATCCTATATTTGAAATTTAGATCCACTCTAAATCTAACCCGTGAATTATAAATTTGAGTTTTCTAATAAAAAATAACGATTTTAAAGTGTTTCTGTAATGTTCATATTTACCTACTCCTTTGTTTTTATTTAAATGTTACAGTTTGACTAGACATGTATGATAATGCAAAATTTTGATTAATAATATTTGTAATTATCGATAAGTATAAATTATATAAAAAAATATTCGGATAATATACATTGTGATGATTCCAACAAATACTCACGTGACTAAATTTATTCTCGTATGTAAATCACTAACATTTATCAAAATAAATTATATATGTATGTAGTGTAAAAAATCAAACTGGGGCACTTAAATAAAACGGAATGAGTTTTTTATTTAATTTTTTTTTTCCAAAAAAAAAAAAAAACTTTAGTATTTGGGAAAATTGGTAGTTTCAGCATGGAAGTCAATTAAGGCTCTATTTGGCAAGTAATTGTTAGCTGGTAGACGTTTTAACTAGATAAATGCAATTAGTTGTTTGTGTAAAATTGTAAAAGTGTTTGGTATAACTGTTAGCTATTAGTTGTTTTAATGTATAAACAACCAAAAAGCTTAAAAGTCTTTCAAAAAGCTCTTTGAAAAAAAGATTTTTAAACCTAAAAAAGCTCTTTCAACGGCTCTTTACCAAATACCCCAAATAACTTTTCGAAATAATCAAACTACTCTTTTTGCTCCAAACTCTTAACCAAACATCCCCTAAGTACACTTAAAAATAAATTTTTAGTTTGATTTCTTTTTTAAAAAATATCTAAAATAATAAATTTTTAAAACAAAAGTAAAAAAAAAAAAAACATGCGGATCCAGATCCGTGAATCTAATCTAATTTCTGGATTTTTAGATCCGTGAAGTTAGGTCCATGTCTATAAAACATATTTGAACAAGGGATCCAATAGGATTATTGGTCCAAATTTGACTCATTGCCACCTCTAGCGATAAAGGTGGGCACGGCCCGGCATGGTCCAGTCGTGGGCCATAGGCGTGCCACGGACGACGTTTTGCTATTCTGGCACGAGCCCGCTTCTGGCCCGTCTTGCTGGGTCGTGGCACAACACGTAGGCACGGACCGCGTGCCGGCCCGGCCCGGCCCGGCCTGTCGTGCCAACGGCTAAATAACGGCTATGATGCCGTAGCCAATCCACAAATTAACGGCTAATTTTTTGTCTCAAACAGCAATTAACGGCTAGTTTTCCCAAATTCCCTATAAATACCCAATTCCATTCACTTCCCAAATCACAAATTCACAATCTTCCTCTCTCAATCTCTTATATTCTCTAATAATCCTTAATCTCTTATATTCTCTAATAATTCTCTAAATATTATTTCTTAATATCGGAAAAAATTAAAAGTTCGTAATCGTAATTAGTGGAAAGCTTGAAGCACGGTTGTAAGATCTAAACTAATGTTCAATTTATTATTGTTGTTATTGTTATTATTACAATTATTGTTAGTAATTATTATTGTTGTTATTGTTATTGTTATATTTGTTGTTATTAATTATTATTATTGTTATTATTATTATTAAAATTATTGTTATTAATTATTATTGTTGTTATTTTTATTATTACAATTGTTGTTATTAATTATTGTTGTTGTTATTGTTATAATTGTTGTTATTAATTATTATTATTGTTATTATTATTGTTAAAATTGTTGTTATTAATTATTATTATTATTATTATTATTATTATTATTATCAATTATGGCATCTAATAACCCATCATCTAGGGGGAAGGGGAAAGGCCGACTTGCCCGTGGTAGTAGTTCTAGGGAATCACCTAATCTAACGAGCCCCCAAATTCCGAGTCCGGCCATTCCAACCAATGACCCCGGTAACCTCCCTCTAGGCTTTGAACAATTTAGAGATGATGGTACTTCCGGTTTTCAACCCTACAATATGCCCGGATTTCTACCACCAAACCAATTTCCACAATACGGTCAATTTCCACCAAATTACTTTGACACACAAAATTTTTATTCTAGCCAAGGTAGCCAACAAACCCTAAATGCCTCCGGTTCTACTACTAACCAACAAAACCCCGATTCTACAAACACCCAATTCCCAAACACACATGAAGAATGGTTAACCGAGAGTGAGATGGTACTTGTCAAAAGCCGCAAAAGTGAGGTATGGCGTTATTTCCTCCTAAGTAGAGACCACCTAAGAGCAAAATGTAAACATGTGATCATTCATTCTCGACAAAATCGACATCGGGGATGGGACACTTAAATAGACACATGAGAAGTTGTGCAAAACCAGCTAGTGATCCAACCCAGCCAAAAATTTCCCAATTCCATCCACACGGCTTTACCTACAACTATGAGAGGGATAGGGATGAACTAGGGAAAATGATAGTACACGCCGAACAACATTTTCTTTTCTCCGAAAGTGACCCATTTAACACTTACATTAACAAAGCATTACAACCCCAACATAAAAGAATCTCTAGGAAAACCGTTCGTTCCGCCACCATGAAAAACTTCCTAAAGTACAAAATGCGGTTACAAGCCGAATTGAGTAACCTTAACTGTAGAGTGCCTTTGACTGCCGATTCTTGGGATAGTGGTTATAAATATCACTATTTATGTGTGACTTGCCATTGGGTAGATGATCAATGGTTGTTACAAAAACGAATAATCCATTTCAAAATGCTGGAATACCCCCACACCGGTATTAACATTTCTCACCATTTAATGGAAGCAATAAATGAATACAACCCTCGAGATAAAATGATGTCTATGACATTTGACAATGCAACCGCAATGACATATACTGCTAATTATGTCAAACAAAACTTGACCGATGTAATATTAGATGGTGATGCACTTCATACTAGATGTGTTTGCCATGTTCTTAACTTGTGTGTACAGGATGGACTTAGAGAAATGGGTCCATACTATAACAAAATTAGAGAAGTTATTATGTCTATTAATAGCTCAAACATGAGATACCAAGAATGGAAGAGTTTTCTAAGACAACAAAAGATAAGGGCTATAAAAATCAAAACCGATTGCCCAACTAGGTGGAATTCCACCTATGACATGTTAACCACCGCAATTGAGTACAAGAATCCGTTGACAATGTTTTACAACCAAAAATTTCCAAACAATGCTATATATGAGGATGATTGGGCTAAATGTGAACGATATATGCAATTTTTACAGTTATTATATAACATGACGTATTGTTTTTTTTCTGTTTATAATCCTTGTGCTCAAAACTTTCTTTCAAATGCATGTGTACTCGCCCAACTTTTGGCTGATCATCGCAACCAAAGTGATTATGATCAGTATCTTCCAGCAATGGAAACAAAGTGGCGTAAATATTATAGTGAAATTCCTTTGATTTATATTTTTGCTTCCATATTAGATCCTAGGCAAAAGTATGAAAACACATTTATGTTAGTTGACTTTTATTTTCAATGCATGCTTCTTGACGATAATGTAGAAACGTATAAGAGTAATGTGAAGGACCAATTTTTTGCTTTATATAGAGTCTATGAAGCCAAATATGGAAGCGTTCCTCGCTCAGGGCCTTCCCAACCATCCAAAAACGTAAGTAAGAAGGCCAAACATTTATTTTCACAAGCTACTAACTTGATTTCAAGGTTTTCAGGTGATTCATCAATAAGGAGAACGCAAAGCGATGTCTTGGAGTTGCAAATGTACCTGAGTTACGACTTCACCAAGGGCATGGATGACGATGAGATAAACAGCCTCGATCTCCTTGCATGGTGGAAACAACAAAGCACGAAGCATCCAACTTTGGCGGCAATGGCACGAGACATTCTTAGTATCCAAGTCTCCTCCGTTGCCTCCGAACGAGCTTTCAGCGCATCCAGGAGGGTTTTAGACGATAGAAGAACAAGTCTAAAACCCGAAACACTTGAAATGTGCGTGTGTTTCAAAGATTGGTTAGATGCTGAAAATCGGTCACAAGACCGTTCTTACGACGACAACGACAACGATGAAGGAACCTCCGCTTCCGACCGTATGGGTTCGGCTAGTTCCCAATCTATGCAACTAGCCGATGACCTTGAAGCCGAAGACGAAGACGAAGACGAAGACGCACAAGAAGAAGAAGAATAGGTAATTTTTGTATATTGTACGATTTTTATCATTATCAATATTATCATTTTACGATTTTTATCATTATCCAATTTTTGTTTAATATCCTTGTACGATTTTTATCATTATTATCATTGTACAACTTTTTCAAGTAATAATAATATGAAGTATGCATTATTCACATCCAAAGTCTAATTTGCCTTTTTTTCGTTAAGTTATAATTCGTAAATTAATATAACAAAAATAAAATTATAATAATTAATAATACAAAAATAAATGTAATAAATTATAAACATTAAACTATAAAGTAATAGTATAAACTAAATATATAAATTTAATTATTAAATATAAAAAATAATAAAACATAAATATTAAACTTAATTTATTTTAGAAAAATAATAATATAAGATTATAAGTTATAAACTATTAATTAATAAATAAATAAATAAATTAAAAAAAAGGGAGGAAGACAGCAAGCCAGCCCACCAGGCCAGCACGCAGGCCAGCACGACACGAGCCCGAATGGCACGTGGGCCGTGCCGTGCCGTGGGCTGGCCTGTGACTTTGGGCGACACGGCACGACACGTCTTCTCATGCACGGTGGCCCGCGGCGGCACGGCCCAGCACGGTGCCCACCTTTATCTAGCGATAACCATGTGAAGAATTGTGGTGAGAAGTAGGATTTATGAAAGCTAGAGGGAGTTGATATTCTGTAATAAGGGATGCAAATCGAGGTAAAAAATAATAATAAATTTTATATTCTGACAAAGAATACAACAATTTATATTAGAACAATCTTAAGCATAAACAAACTAAATTATGATGGCCTAATAAATTTCACATTAAAACATGAAAATAAGGTAGGAACGATAGTAAGTAGCAATTTTAACCAACTTATCTGAGTTGAATTGTGGCATGAATTAACACTATTGGAAAGTTGAATCTATCTCGTTACGTACACGGTACACACGATCTTTTAACAATGAACTTCAAAGGTTGTACACCT